GAAATTGTGAAAAACATTGAAAGGTTGTGAAGTGTACGCATCCTATATGAATGTTGTGACTACCGGAAGGTATCAAGCAATATGAAATGTGGAACCAATGTGCTTAGTGCCATTTGTGACTCAATGTGGCCTAGAGCCAACTGTGAATTAAGTGGGCTAAGAATCCTAATGTGAAACTACGTGACCAATGGTCCAATTGTGAATTGTGAACTAATGAGGCCATAGGGGCTCATTTGTGAATAAGAAATTATGAGGCCAAGGGCCGATGTGTGAGATATGAATGTCCCTATTGTGAGCTTGTGGAAATTGAACAGAAACAAAAGGTTTATGTGAGGAAATTGTAAAATTGTGAACCAAAAAACTCTCTTTACGAACGTATAAAGTGCTTAGGCCAGGGGCCACATTTAATGATAATTATAAACCGATTATGTCGTCCCTACAGGTCGTACAGAGACAGATTAATGGCATGATTACAGCAGTTAAATATATTTACTAGCATATATAGTACTATTATTCACTGAGCTTGGCTCACCCTGTGTTTATGTCTGCTTTCTGTAGGTAGCCAACCAGGAGGTCAATCTTAGCTCGGCATCGTCATACTTTTGTCAGCCTAGGCACAGCCAAGCGTGGGGTCCGGGACCTACTTTTGTTGAAGTTCGTTAGATGGTGACTCACACTTTTTGTTATTGGCTTTAAAGTTGATATGTACTTAATGATTTTGTTATATACCCCATCTCGGGGTTAGTTTTGTATATGCCTGTAGTAAATAACCAACTCTTAAATGCATTTTGGCTTCTAATGTACTTGTTTTGAAAAATGTTTTTGATCCTGGCATGACTTAGTAGCTCAATGGATGTCATACTCTCTGGTTTTTATCAATTATGTTTTGTAGCTTCCGGGCAGGCCCCTCTATAGAACCAGATTAAGTGTCATTTTCTGTTTAGGTCATGCCTAAACTTTTAGGGGCAAGTAAGGGGCGTGACAAGTGGTATCAGAGCACGAGTTGCTATCTCACACACAGATCCATTGAGCCTTAGGATGTCTAGAAAAGATTTAAGCATCATGCATGGCATCCTAAGAATGTATGGAAGACCGATGGCAACGAAGAATGTACTCTGCTAACGCTAACAATTTGAACTTTGTTTGTCGGGTATAATTGAATATTATGCAGGTTATGGTTAGAACCAGGATGGAAGAGTCGGACGAGGCTACCTCGGCAAGATTGGACCGAATGGAAAGAATGATTATGGATATGGCGGAGACCCTAAGGCAGCAACAGCAACAACCGCCACCACCACCAGTACCTCCACCTGCAGTACAAGATGTTCATGTTGAGGACTGAACCATCACACTCACAAAGGAGTTCAAAAAGATGAAACCACCGTCATTCAAGGGGGGAATTGAACCTATGAAAGCTGAAGCGTGGGTGCTGGGAATAGAGAAATTGTTCGAAGTGTTTCCATGTACTGAAGCCCAGAAAGTGCAACTTGCCGCCTTTACTCTTGAAGATGAGGCACGAAGATGGTGGATGCTTACAAGAACAGTGCATCGGGACTTAACATGGGATAGATTTCTAGAGCTGTTCTACGATAAGTATTTTCCTCAAAGCGTGCGAGATAAGAAAGTAACGGAATTTGAGACTCTTAGACAAGGAAATAAGACTGTTGCAGAATATGAGGCCCAATTTGCTGAATTAGCTCGGTTTGCCCCTCATATGGTGGATACCGACTATAAGAAAGCACGAAAATTTGAAGGGGGATTACGGGGTGCCATTTTGGACCGGGTTAATATGCTAAAATTACCCACATACGTTGAAGTGCTGGAAAGGGCTGTTATTGCAGAAGGAAACCTTGCGGCCCAGAATAGGATTTCCGAGTGGAAAGGGAAGAGACAAAACAACCAATGGTCAAAGGGATCCGTTACTCCACCCGCGAAGAAGCACAATTCAGGGAACTTCAGCACCACTAATTCTGCTCAAAATGCCACTCCAATGTGTCTAGACTGTGGAAGGCAACATCGAGGAACTTGTCACTGGAGGACAGGAGCATGTTTTAAATGTGGGAAAACGGGACATTTAGTAAGGGATTGTCCGCAATTGGTTCAACAAAAAGGCAATAGACCTGCTACAAGTTCTGTGGGGTCTACACTGACCCCTAATGCGAAGACGGCTATCAAACCGAGTAATAACAAAGACACTACAAGACCAGGTAGGGTGTTCGCTTTGATTCCAGGTGATGTACAAAATACAGCGACAGTGGTGTCAGGTACATTTACTATTTGTGGTCAATCTGCGCATGTATTGTTTGATTCTGGCTCCACTCACTCTTTTGTGTCAAAATTCTTCGCTCCTAATTTAGATAAAATTGAAGAAAACTTATCTTGCATGTTGTGTGTGTCCTCCCCCTTGGGAGAATCTATGATTTGTGCTACCATATATCTAGCTTGTGAACTTCAATTTGGGGATATTCGGGTGTATGCTAATTTAGTGCCTCTCGATATGACTTATTTTGATGTTATTCTGGGGATGGATTGGCTAAGTGCTTATGGTGCAACTATAAACTGTGTGACTAAGCAAATCAATTTTTATCCTCCGGGGCAATCAAAGTCCGTGGTTCAAGGGCAGGAAGTGATTTCGCCACCTTATCTGATATCTGCCATGAAGGCTTGCAACTTAATACGAAAGGGCTGTCGGGGGCATCTATGTAGTGTTTTAGAAGGGCAGAGGATGAATGAGAATATTGATGTGATCCCAGTGGTCCGTGAATTTCCGGATGTTTTTCCCGAAGAATTGCCGGGCCAACTAATAGACCGAGAAATCGAGTTTATAATTGAAGTGGCGCCTGGAACCCAACCCATTTCAAAGACCCCCTATAGGATGTCACCGGCTGAAATGAAAGAGTTAAAGGTTCAATTACAGGATTTGCTTGACAAGGGATTTATCCGCCCGAGTGTATCTCCTTGGGGTGCAC